CGTGATTTCAATCACTGAGGGGAGTGAGGCAGATGGAGAGACAGTTTAAGGAAAAAGAACATTTTCCATTGGAGTTTTTTTTTTTTTGCGGGGGGAGGTGTTGGTGGGACCACACTCAGCAGTGCTCAGGGCTTCCTCAGAGACTCTCTTCTCAGGGATCAATCCTGGATGGACTTGGGGGACCATATGGAGATCGAACCTGAGTCAGCCGTGTGGATAGGGGTACTACTTTGATCTTCTCTTCACAGTATCACGGTCATCCTGTTGTTCATCAATTTCCTCGAGCAGGTACTAGTAACGTCTCTTTTGTCCTAGCCCTGAGATTTTAGAAAATATCATATTCAAGGCTCTCTCAGGTTCAGGAGAATGAGACCCATCATTGTTACTGGTTTTTGGCATATTAAGTATGCCACGGGGACTTTGCCAGACTGCCATGCAGGCAGGATACTTTCGGTAGCCTGTCAGGTTCTCCAGAGTAAGAACTAGATAATAAGATGTCAAGGCCACCTGCTTCCGGAAGCTGGGTTTTATAGTCTCTGGGTTTTGGCCATTGATGGGATTACACGGTGCTGGGGCAGTTGGTGGGTGTGATGCTTGCCTACTGGAAGATGGGGGATCTGGGTGGAGGAGGCCCAGTCCCGATCCGAGCAGGCTTGGAGATCTCAGCCCAGGACCCACATGTCTGGTTTCCTCAGCCAGTTCCTTCATGCATGAGGCTTGTCCAAACGTGTGAAGAGTGGTCTCAGCATGGCTGTGGCTGGTTCTGGAGGTCTTGCAGCTGCTGAAGCTCTGCTTGGGGCAGAGAGGGAAACTTAACCCGCCCCCCTCCAAGGGACCCCCGTGAGTTCAGCCAGACACAGGGGCAGGAGACTCTGCACTGTTTTCTTCCGGGAGCTGAGTTTTATAGTCTCTGGGTCTTCTCTTATTTCTCTTCTCTATTTATCACATTTGCTTAGTACCATTCTGACTATATTCTAGGGACTTAACTAGTGAAAATTGAAAATTGGCAGCTTTTTAAAATTTTGTGTGTGTATATAGACACCCCCCCCCCCCCCCACCGGAATAAATACAGAAAAAGTTACAACCATCAGAGTAATCTCTGGCTGAAGAGTAGCAACTATTCTCAGATCGCCTGCCTCTATTTTGGTTTTTGGGATCTAGTGAGTTTTGTTGTTTGGGACTGTTTTTCTTGAGAGGTGTCTGTTTTATTGTTGAGGCAATGAGAACCTTATCCAAAGCATGACAAAATGTGTCTTTTTATCCTGCCTCTCTACATCCTCAAGCTGTGGTTCTGTATAGGAAGGGTTGGTTGCCCAATAGCCTTTTGTGCATTGAGGGAAAAGAAGAAACTCTTTTCTGCCAGAGGAGAGAAATGTTCTCTTCAAATCCAGAGCCACATCAAATTTGGTCAGTAGCCTGGCCCTCTAGGGAATAGCACTCCTCTTCCAGACCACTTTTTTCATACATACTGGGGCTGATGGTGGAGGGGTATGATGGGGTAGAGGGGGGAAATGGAGAGTTTCTGCTTTAGCCATGGAAGAATCTAGCTTCATTGCAGTCACTAAAAGAGCCATCAGTCAGGGAATCCATCCAGAAACTATTCTGGAAAAGCAAAAGACAGAAACATCACCAGCCTCTTTAGAATACAGATAATCACAAAACAACTCAGTCCAAAAAATGTAGCACTGTCCTCCCATTGTTCATCGATTTGCTCGAGCGAGCACCAGTAACGTCTCACAACAAATTGTGAAACTTGTTACTGTTTTTGGCATATTGAATACATCACGGGTAGCTTGCCAGGCTTTGCCGTGCGGGCAAGATACTCTTGGTAGCTTGCCGGGCTCTTTGAGAGGGGCGGAGGAATCGAACCCGGGTTGGCCATGTTGGCCGCGTGCAAGGCAAATGCCTTACCCGTTGTGCTATTGTCACTAGGAATATAGAAAGTGTTCTGTCCTTCTCAGGATTGGAAACTGCTCACATTGATAACCACGCAAGATGGAAAAGTAACACATAGATAGGTGTTAGTAGAATTCATTCACTGAGTTGTGTTAGACCACCCAAGAATCCTTTACCTTCAGAATCACTGGTAGTGGTTTACATTTGTGGAAAATGACCTGGGAGATAAAGAAAACAAGCTAGTAAACAAAGTTTCAAGCCGCACTGCAGAGTTAACAGGGCTCATGCTTGGATTTCCCTCCACATGAGTTTGGCTTGCGCTGTGGAGATGAAGCTACTGGGAAAGAGTAGATTTTTCTAAACCAGAAAGGAAAGTTGGACAGCAAAAAAGAGATATTACAGAAGAAATTGAAGGGGCAAAATGTTGTGACCTTGGCATTAACTAAGTATGAGATAAATAGAAATCTAAAAATAAATAATAATGTATAGATAAAAAAATCTCTAATAATAAGTGGTCCCAGAAGAACCAGGCAGGTTGTTTTCTATGTACCCTGCTAACCTCAGGGCTATTCCTGGCAGGAAGATAGGACCGTGCTAATGTAAGGTTTGGGGGAAGCAGAGTCTGAAACCAGAACCAGCCCAAAGGCATGGAGGGCCCAGAGGACCCATCTCAGGATCCTGGGAAGCCATTGAGATGCAGAATTCCAGGACAAATGCGGGAGGTTCCCTGAGAGGAGAGGTGGGTGGACACTCCTAGAGGAGGAGATCCAGCTCTGCAACAAAGATCAGTTGGAGAATATCAAAAGATCATCCACTGCCTCACACTCTGCCTTGACAATGAACTGGGTGAGGGAATGTTTAAAATGCCAGCTTGAACAAAGGAAGCATGCACATGTATTTCCCCTTGTACATAGTTTGGAGTCCATGCATATGGTGCCTACCCGCACATGTCAAACGCATTAACACATGTTGCCCATATTTGAGATGTGTCATTTCATAACTTCATGCTTTAATGCTGGGATGTGTACTGGGGTTCTCTCTCCACTCTGTAGAAGCCCTTGTTCTCTTGTCCTCTATTGTTTGTCTCTCTCCTTTCCTCTCTCTCTCTCTCTCTTTCTCTCTCCTTTGCTCTCTCCCCTCTGTCTCTCTCTCTTCTTTGCTTTCTCTCTCCTCTTCCTCATAATTTCAAATAAAACTTATTTTTTCTTCACTCCTTGACTCCTTCTGAAATCTTTTCTGAGAGAAAGGTAAAGTACCAGAAAGGTCTAGGTAAGGCCTAGGACTGACTTTTCTTTACTGCAAGGAACAAAGCTCACAGCAAGGATGACTAACATTTCCTACAGAGTGTAAATAGAGAAGAAAGTCAACAGCACTCTGAATCAAAGTCTAAAGGAGTTAGAGGAGAGATTATCAGAGAACAGAAAAGACTGAGGGAAAAAACAGAAAGGATAATTTTCTATAAGCCAAGAGGTTACACAATAGGAAAAGATGCATAAACAGAGGACTCTCAAAGGAATAAAATGACACAGTTATGTGTAATACACATTCCAACAACAGCATGGGTAGGAGTCAAGTTGTAACAGGACAAGGAAATACTGACAGGTGATAAAGAAGTAATCATGGAAGGTAATATTAGGGTTATAATATTAGTAGCTGTAATATATTTAACAAAATTCCACCAATAAAGAGAGAAAGGGAACTAGACCTTATTTAGAACATTTCTCTGTATTACTTAAATGAACTAGTATCACTGTATCACTATCATCTCATTGTTCATCAATTTGCTTGAGTGGGTGCCAGTAACGTCTCCATTCATCCCTGCCCTGAGATTTTAGTAGCCTCTCCTTACTTGTTCTTCCAAACGGTGCAGTATTGGAGGCTCTTTCAGGGTCAGGGTAATGAACCCGTTATTGTTACTGTATTGGGCATATCGAATACGCCATGGGGAGCTTTCTAGGCTTTGCTGTGAATGAAGCTAGTATAATACTAAAAGTGATTCCTCTAAGTTAATATGAATCCTAGATCAACTGAATGTATATACATATCTATAAATACTATGTTAGAAATAAACATAATTCTGTCATGGAAATTTTTTTCAGAAAAATTCTCAGAATTTTTCCATTATCCACTGGGGATGCAAAGTGTTGACATGAAGATCTTTGGATGTGAGAAGAGAGAGAGAGAGAGAGAGAGAGAGAGAGCACACGAGAGAGAGAGTGTGTGAGAGAGAGAGAGGAATTTCTCACTGAATCACCTAATACAGTGCAGCTTAGCCTCCATGACCAAACTTAAAATGCCAATAAATCTTTAATGTTCCCCAAAGTACATAGTACAGGCTCCTGTATTATGGATGGCTCCATGCTGAAACAAATTTGATGGTAAAATATACATGTTGGGATGGTATTGCGATATTTAGACTCTCCAGCTGAAGGGAAGTAAATGATAATGGGAATTGAAAACTACTTTATTTCAGTGTCCAAGTGTCAGAATGGATTTCTAGTCTTCATATAAAATTTAGATATGTAAAATGTTCTAGAAGAGAAAGATTGCAAAGTTTACAAGCTTAATGGATGATGCCTCAGCAAGAACTAGAAAAATATAAAAAACTATAAAAGAAAACTCAAGAAAGCTAGAAATGGAGTATGTCATGGCACCAATCTATTATAAACTTAACATTGCTTATATGCAAATATACATATACTCATATGCATATACATATGCATACATGTATCTACATTCTACATATACACATTTTTCATATAGTATGAATATATATTTACATATACAATACTATATTATAAATATTAATGTATATTTGCATATGCAATATTATATGCTAAACATGTTTATATACCTATAGACACATATTAAGGAGTTTATATATATATATGTGTGGCACATGAAAATAATAGATGGCAATAATAGATGGCACTAAAAAAGAATACAAGAATTATGTGTGTAAGAAACCATCATTAACAGGTGTGCGCCTATGGTGTCTCCTGGAGCTGGAGCTGCTGCGTGTGGGGGGTCAGAGGTCTAGCTGGTGAGGGGCTGATGAGGACCTTTTCAGGTACACTAGCATGAAGACTCGGGGGGTTGGGACAATGGCCAAAAACAAAGTAAAAGGACAAAAGACCAGGAATGTGTTCCACATAGCCACCCAGAAACACTTGAAAGCTAAAAACAAAGCAAAAGTTACCACTAACCTCAAGAGGATAAATATTGTGAATGAGGAAAAGATCAACAGAATGAACAAAGCTTTTGTAGACATACAAAAGGAGCTTGCACACTTCTCAAAAGGCCTTTCCCTGGAGCCTCTGCAGAAACCACTGTTTCCTCAGCAGTGTCATGAAAACAAACCAGTTAATGTCGATGAAGCTACCAAGTTAATGGCTCAGTTGTAATAAATGCTGGTGATGTGGCAGATTCCTCCCCCCCCAAAATCAATAAATTAAATTTGTTTCATACCAAAAAAAAGAAACCATCATTAACAGTATTGGATATCACAAAAATCTCAGACAATAAAAATAAGTAACTAAATTTTTGAGAAGGAAAAGAACGGAAGAGCTAATGGGTAGTGAAAAGCATTTTCAAATTTCATATTTCATAGCAATGTATAATCCTGTTCTTATACTGGACTTATTACTACACGTTGCTCTTGAATCAGTAGCAATAGAAATCAATTTAGTCCAAATTAATGCTCATCACATTTAGTAAGTTCTGGCATATGAAGCAAAGTGGAATTATTAGGCTTACTGACTGCATGGGATTAAAGGAGAGGGGGACTGACTAATATATCTGAGGTTCTAAAGGTTCATCATTCTCAGAAAACATATTTGTACCCTTACTGATGGCTCTGGATATGCACAGGGATCAGTGACTAACCTCCTGTAGGGGCTTCTTGTTGCCTGGATACTGAGTTCATGGCCAGCTTGGATCCAATCTCTGTTCAAGATTGAATTCTACATATCCTGTTCCTTGCTTAACACAGCCTTCACTCTTCAAGGTTGATCCCTTTCAGATTTTCAAACAGTGGCTCTTATTTTGTCTGGTCCAAAGCTAGGCAAAATTGTCAGTATCATATCAAACAATTTCATTTATTTGTAATTTTCCAAAAAATATTTTTTCTTTGGAGGACAATCTGTAATGTAGTTACTAATATGTTGAATTCATACACCCAGAAAGTGTTTTGTAAAATGCAACACAATTAAACTTTGTTTTCAGTTAGGATTGTTAACTTACACTCTTGACAACTTTCAAAAAAGTTCACTCTTATGTTCTTCAGTTTTGGGTGTATTGTTGAAAGATTGACCAAAAGTATTGTCTTATTGTCTAAAATTACTATCTAAATTTAAAAACTCAGAAAAATATATAATGCATTTGATGCATATATGTCTGGGCACCCCTTTCTCCCCACTCTGTGAAGTCAAATTTTGCACGAAGAAGAGGCCTCAGAGGTGTCGGTGTCCTTGTCAAAACAAACTTGGCCATGAGCATTGATTCATTCGAATGCCTAACGACCCGAATTGGACAATTACACTTGAATAGATGTGGCTCACTGCCAGCAATTTCCATCTTCGTTGTCTACGCACCAACATCCAATTATGATGAAGGAGAAATTGAGAAGTTCTACATGGAGCTGGAGAAGTCCTATAAAGAAGACCACACCTTCTACAAGATCACTATCACTAATTTTAATGCCAAGATAGGACCGAGAAGATGAGCCAAAGAACTCCACATCGGGACCCATGGCCTAGTATGGAACAAACAGGGTGAGAGACTGTCTGAGTTCATCATGTCGACCAAGACCATCCATGGTAACTCACAGTTCCAGAAGGCCAAATCTATACGTTGGACATGGGAGTCTCCTGGTGGACGGTTCCACAATGAAATTGACCACATCATATTCAATTGATGGTTTTGCCAAACCAATGTTGCCGTTGTCCCAACATTCCAAATGGGATTGGACCACTGTCTCCTTTGTGCAAAAACTACTTCACAGAGTGGGGAGAAAGGGCTGAAAAGTTTAAGAAGAGAACGCCCAGAACAATCACCAACTGGGAGCTCTTTGGCACTATTGCTGCAACATGGGAAGATGCCATATTGACAACATTGATGAGGAACAAGATCGACTGGTTCAGCACCTCCATGATTGTGTGAGGAACACCAAGAGAGAGATAGCCACAAAAAACGCTTGTCTTAGAAAACTCTTGAGCTTATGCACCAACGTGGCTTGGCGCATGTCTCAGGAAACCACAAGTGAACGTCTGAACTTGCAAAACAGTGCAGAGAAGCTATAAGGAAGACTTTAAAGAGAGAAGATCAGCAGTCCTGGTAGATGTGGTAGAAGCCAGGAAAAGCATTCGCAACACCTGTCTGTCCTTCGCCAACTACAAGAACAAGATGACTGCCCTTTGACGTCCTGATGGATCTATCACATCTTCCAGAAGGGCAATGGAGAAGATTATCCATGACTTCTATTCGGATCTCTTTGATAGCCACGTCCAACTGCCCACATACCAAATTCCGCAGGATGAATATGTCGTTCCCAAAGTTCTCCCTTCCACAATCCAGCATGCCATCTCTCCGGTAAAAAAACAAAGAGCACCTGGCCCAGACAAGGTCAGATCCGAACACCTGAAGAACTTGCCGTCAGTACTCATCAATACACTGACTCAGCTCTTCACACACTACATGTCTGAATGCAAGGTTTCGTCCCAGTGGAAAACCAGCAGGACTGTACTACTGTATAAGAAGGGAGACATCCACGACATTGGCAACTATTGCCCGATCTGCCTGTTATCTCTCGTCTATAAGCTGTTCATTCCAGTCATCCTGAATAGGATTTGTAGAACACTGGATGAAGAACAACCATGCGAGCAAGACGGTTTCCAAAAAGGATTTAGCACAATCGACCATATTCACATAATAACCAAGCTCATTGAGATTTCTCGGGAGTTCCAGATGCCACTCTGTCTAACGTTCATTGATTTAAAGAAGGCCTTTGATTCTGTTCAGACTGAAGCAGTCATCGAGGTCCTAGCCAAATAGGGCGTTCAAAGTCAACACATCAGGATCCTCCATGAGCTGTTATTGCAGATTCACTACCAGGATCTGACCATTCTACAGGGAGGTGATCATTGATGTCAATAGAGGGGTTTGGCAAGGTGATACTATTTCACTGAAACTCTTCAGTGCCACCCTCAAGAACGTCAAGTGACAACTGGAATGGGAAGGAATGGGAGTGAAGGTAGACGGTCGGCAACTATACCACCTTCGCTTCACTGATGACATTTTTCTTATAACATCAAACATCAGCCAAGCGGTACAAATGCTAGCCAACTTTGACCATGAGTGTGTTAGGGTCGGACTACAGCTGAATCTAACAAAGACAATGTTTATGAGAAATGGTCTCGTTCCTGATGTTCCATTCACTCTCAAAGGAACGAACATCTCCGGATGCAACAGTTATGTGTACCTAGGCTGAGAAGTCAACATGACGAATGACCTGGCATCTGAGTTGCGCAGGAAAAAGAGGACAGCATGGAACGCCTTCAAGAACATCGAAGAAATAGCTAAGAGGGCAAAGAACCCCCGGCTCCGGGCATATCTCTTCGATTCCACTGTTCTTCCTGCATTAACATATGCCTCAGAGACCCTGGCCCTACGAAAACAGGATGAGAACGCTATTCGGGTATCCCAAAGAAGAATCAAAAGAGCTATGCTTGGAGCATCATGCTTCACTCAAATGAGGGAACGAATCCGAAGTTCCGACCTTCATCGATGGTCAAGAATCAGGGACGCTGTCTCGTTTGCCAAGGTGTTGAAAATCAGATGGGCTGGACACGTAATGAAATTTGGAGATGACCGCTGGACTAGAGCCATTACCAACTGGATTCCACAGGGCGTCAAAAGATCATGTGGCCGCCCACCTATGAGATGGTCAGACTTCTTTGTCCAGACCCTGAGCGATCGATTTGAGGCTCTTCATGTTCCTTGCCATTCGGCTACATTAGCACACAACAGGGGTGAATGGAGACGTTGCTGGTCCCCGCTCGAACGAATCAATTAATAACGGGATGTTAAGTGATCAAGTGAAGTGATGTCTGGGCAGAGGAAGTGGTTATTAGACAAGGGTTGTGGTTTAAAACAGAGGACAATGACAAAAATTCTTGAATAAGCCAAGTTTTCATGTAACCATGATATCTCAGTAAGTGCTTCAGTTTCCAGCAAATAAGGAAAAGGAGTGAAGGCAGTGTCACTTGTCTCTGGCAGACACTACTGTCAAACAGTTCCCAATTATGATTGGAGCAGACAAATTTCAGTTCAGTGAGATTTGTCTAAGGCACATCTGCATTGGGAACATTATGTAGAATTTCTGAATGTACCTGCCCCAGTCATCCTGTACCAAGGTACCAAGGACATTCTCTGCCAGTATATGTGCATGTGTCTTTCTTTTTCTCTCTTTCCTGGAGCCTTCATAGTCCCCTATAGAACCAGGACAATAAAGTCTTTAGACTCCACTGAACTCTCAACCCTACTTTTAAAATCTTCTATAAACATTTAGTCATTTTTATTTCTCATTTCACTCCGTGTTGTTTTTTGAGGGGTTTCATTCATTTGTTTGCTTGTTTGTTTGTTTGTTTGTTTTGGGGGGCATGCTCAACTGTACTCGAGGTTTACTCCTGGCTATACACTCAGGAATTATTCCTGGTGTTGTTCAGGGGACTATATGGGATATGGGATTGAGTCTAGCTAAGCCATATGCAGTCGAGCTTCCTACTTGCTATACTATCTTTCCAGCTTCAAGTTGTTTTTTTTTAAACACTCAACTTATGAAACTGAATAACCATATTGTACCACATAAGAAGACATGAGCGTTCCCCCAACTGGATAAATCTTAATTATGTACCTACTAACCCCAGGATGGGCTGGATCGATAGCACAGCAGGAAGGGCATTTGCCTTTCACGCAGTCAATATGGCACCTGAGTTCGATTCCTCCGCCCCTCTCGGAGAGCCTAGAAAGCTACCAAGAGTATCTAGCCCACAGGGCAAAGTCTGGCAAGCTACCTGTCTCCATTGTGACAATTGTTACTGTGTTTGGCATATTTAGTACGTCACAGGTAGCTTGCACATAACCCACCCAAGTTTGATTCCTCCACCCTTCTCAGAGAGCCCAGCAAGCTAGAAAAGATGAAGTCATGAAATTTACATACAAGTGGTACTACATGGAAAGTATCATACTAATCAAATGAGTCAGAAAGAGAGGAACAGATATAGAAAGATTGTATTCATCTGGGGAACATAAAGTAACAAAATAGGAGACTGAAACCCAAGAATAGACAAGATAAGTACCAGAAGGTTTACTCCATGGCTTGGAGGCCAGCTGCACATGCTAGAGG